GAGAGAGAGAGAAAGAGAGAGAGAGACAGACAGACAGACAGACAGACAGACAGACAGACAGACAGAAACAGAGGGACAGAAAGAGAGAGGAAAGGGGGTGGGGGTGGTGGTGTGATAGCAAGACAGAAAGAGCACAAAACCAATGTAGCTCCCCCTCCCCTGAAACTCCCCAACAACCCCAAACACATTCCAAAAATAAACACATAAAAACACAAACAAAGTAAGCGCAGCACACACAACAATCCAATATTATCCTTACTTTTCCCCAACTTACCGTGGTGCGGGTGATGGTGCGATGAGGAAGGCGGCGACGATGACGAGGAAGCTGTTGCTGTCGTGTGCTGCTGTTGCTGTTGCTGCTGTTCGTGGAGGATGCCCTGAAGGAAGGTCTTGCCCTCGGCTCCCGTGCTGGGCGAGTCCATGCTGAGGAGCGCCTCCACCGCCATCTCCCGGCCACGCCCATCCTGCTGCTGCTCACACGCGTCCACTGGACAGGAAAAGAAGGAAATAAAGAGAAAAACGTGCTATTAAATTACATAATATCTCCATTTCGTCGTTTCAGTAAAAAAAAAAAAAAAAAGTCCTGGGAGCGAGAATTTTCCAAATCACAAAGGAGAAGCAAATAACCTCACACCATTTTTGCAGTTTTGGGTCTATTGAATTGAAACTTTTACATAATACTCAAGTTTGTTCTTATAACTTTTTGTTTTAGTAAGTGTTTTACGGCACTTGCAACACAGTAAAGTCATAAGAGCCGAAGATTAGTGGTGTTACGAGAAAGTAAAAGTTAATAAGTTGTGTTTTACGGCACTTGCAACGCGCGACGATTAGAGGTGATACAAGAGAGTAACAAACACAAAGAAGAAGGAGGGGAAATAAGTGCGAGTGATGTTTGATAGAGGAAAGACGAGGCAAACCACACCAGATCGGAGCACCCGCCAACAAAAATGCCGTTACATATTTCCGTTTGTTCAACTGTTTGATCATCAGGATAAGATAAGCATGAGCCATGCTATGAACTAACCTGAAAACCACCAATAATAATTGGTGTCCCGCCAGCGAGGCGTGGCGTACGTGCGTCTGTGTCGATGCACGCGCGCCCACAGGATGCGTTTATAGGCAGGGAAACTGGTGCTTGCCAGGTGGTGCAGTGCATGAACGAGTATGGGCATCTACGTGTAAGCATCAAATATTATGCGCTCAAAATGAAAATTTGTACGGGATAGAGCGCTAAATACATGCAATCAATTCTTCTTCTTCTTCTTCTAAATACAATGGGGTGTTTTACAAGACAACGTCACACACAGTGTCGGGTGCCGCGATCACTACCTTGGCTGTTGAGCCACAAACCGCTCCGCCGGCGTCTGACTTCTCCACACCTGGCTGTCTATCCGCCGCGATGCCAGAAACAGACAGACACAACAGAACGGTCAAAATGGTATTAGTTTAAACGCCCCTATCAACACTGACTAGGCTACGCTACCGACGCCCTGAGAGCGGTCAGTTTTCGGTTTAGTAAGATTTTCACGGCGCTTGCACCACAACAAGGTCATATTATGAGGGTG